AGTGCTGTTCCTAACAAAAGAAATCCTAAAAGGTATATTAAAAAAAAACCCTTTTTTTAAAGGAGTTGTGATTTATGCTAGGCACTCCATGAAGTCAAAATCAAGCTAAATTCAGGTCACCTGTGCTGAAGAGTTTTCAGCTGAAATTAAACAGGGTACAATTAACGTTCATCATGAAGTGACATCTATTAAATTGGTAGAACACAAGTGCTTCTGAACAAGAAAATGCCATGTGAAACATGATTTTTTTTTGTTTTGTTTTGTTTTGCTGCTCTCTGTCATATTAATGCAAATTAAACCCTGTCTTCTTTAATCTGAAGAAGCTTCAATCATTCTGATACAGTGCATTAATGGTACAGAGATTCTTAGGCTAAATGTACTGTATATAAATGTAGAGGGTCCCACTGCAGTGAAAATGGATTTCAAGTATCGTTAAAAGATAATTTCTTTAAAAGAGAATTGTATTTGAAAATATATATTAACGTTGCATTTCAGTGCTTAGCATCTATAAAATGATGAAACAAATAACATATAAAGTAACTCGACAAAGTTACAACATCTCAGGAGAAACCTCCAAATCACTAGTCTTTGCTGGTGTGTAGCATGACTTTTGTGTATTCATTTAACCTGTTGTCTCTCTGTAGGAACTTGAACGTGTTACATCATTGCAGACTGGCCTTCAGTTAGCAGCTGTTATTTGCACAAATGGAAGAAGGTATTTTGCTTAAATAATGACAGAGATTGAAAGGGGAAAAAGTGTTTAAGAAGAAATCTCTAAACCCAGGAAGTTTCCTTGTTGCTGGTATTTCCTATTTATGTGCTGAATGGAATTAGCAATAGTAGTTAAAGATACTGAAACAAATATCAGCTGCTATCTCTCTTGCAGCTCTCACTTTTTCAACTGGGAGTTCTCTTTAAAATAGGAACCTTTTGAGGTACACCATTGATCCACAGACAAGTTCCGCAGAAGGGAAAATGTACCTTCTTACTAGTCTGTTGTTATCTCAATTTCTGGGTTTCCCTAACAATGCTGACAATCTTATTTTCTAGCATGTACTTTGAGGGACATGTTAGAATTTATTAGAAATAAGTTCTATTTTACATATCACTGAAGATTATATTAATTTTTAACTTTTGCAGACACCTGAATATAGCAAAGGAAGGCTTCACACAAACTAGTTTGGGGCTTCTTGCAAATCAAAGGAAACGACAGTTGCTTATTGGACTGCTAAAGTCTCTGAGAACAATAAAAACACTGGTATGTACAGTTGTTTTTGTTTGATGGCAAAATATTTTTCTTTATTTCTGTGTAGTTACCACTGTTTTTTTAATTTTATTTTTAGCAAAGAACTGATGTGCGTTTGAGTGAGATGTTGGAGGTAAGTCCCTTCTAGGCTATTATAATTTGAAGCTATTCTAAGTCTACTTTTGTCAGTCATCTTAATTTTGTCCCCCCTTTACTTCCTCTTGCAAACAAGCTATGGGTGTATGCCTGTGGTGAAATTATATTTTTAATCTTTTTTTTTCAATATTGTGAAAAATACTTCATATCAAATTTAGTAGCCCCTGTGCCAGGGAGAAGTATTTTCTGTCAAAGGCTCAATCCTGCCTTTAGATCATGGGCTGTGAGGCTTGAGTTAGTTCAGTAGAGTGCTGTGGCATCTTCATCCCGCTCCCTGCTCTCAACTTACACTTCTTTTCTGGCCTTAGCTTGATATTTGGAAGAAAAAAGAAGGTGAGATGTAGCTGGTTGTTGATATGCTGGGTCTGGATAAAGTACTTCTACTGGTATATTACTGTACAAATTTATGTATGGGCTTCTTACTTGGTATTTTATTTGTAAGTGTAGCAGCTTCTCTCCTTATCCATTGGGTTGGCTTTTTAATAGTCAGTTGTAGAAAACTTTGCAACGTGCAGGCAATGACACTGAAAAATCTACTGATACAGTATAAATACTGCCTAAAAATGCAGTAGATACTGCACAGGGCAAAACCAAGATCTTGTCTTAAGGTGATTAAACAATATAAAAGACCATTTCAGGATTTTAGTGACAACTATATTTTAATCATGTAGTATAACAATTTTGACTTGCTAGTTTGCCAGATACTTACTGGCATAAATACTGCATGGAATGTTGTTATGATAATCCCTAGTTACCAAATTTGGAAATTGAGTCTTAATAGTTGTTACTCTTATGACTCTTTCAGTTTAATTCCATCTTGGGTAATACACCTTGTCTCAGCACACTTTCTTACTCTTTACCAAGCAAGAATGTATTAATTTACAGGCTGCACAAACATTCCTTGTTGCTCAGTAAGCCCTGTGCAATGATTAGCTTTTAATTTCTGTGCTTTATTTTGTTGCACAGGAAATCAGCTGTTCACTGTCTACTGGTAGGCATTGTCTTGAGACAGAGGTGTGGGTGTTGCATTCACACACAGACTCTGGTGTCTGATTATGATAATTTGCTAGTGATTTTTTTTTTTTAATAAGGGCTAAGGGCTGTTAAGGGCTGTAACAGTCCTTTCTGGCTAAGTGCAGTTTTAGAGCTGTGCTCAGTGTCTGCTCCCAATAAGGTATCCTAAATGTTGGCCAATTTATTGTCTTTACTCCAAGAAGTTCATAGCTTGGAATACGCATGCGAGCTATTAGTAGCCATTCATAGAGGAACATTTAGATGGCATTCCCAATTAAAAAAAGACCAGACACGAAGCTATAATAACTTACATGAATGAGCTGCATCTGGATTATATTAGTGATATATGTTATGCAAGTAGGCTTTCTGATTTGAGCTCTGTTAGACTTAATGGAGCAAGTACCAGGTTTCCAATGGAGAAAGATTCAAAGAGCTGTAAATGCAGCAATCATTTTAGACCAGTGTGCTGTTCTGTTTTCATCTAATGGGTAATGTGTGTGGCGTTTTTTGTGTTTTTAGCTAAACTTGATCTGCATTAGAATGCTGCTGTTAAAACCAATTTCATTTCAGAAACTCCTTTATGATAATAGCTGAATATAAATTGGCCTTGCGTTTTTACTTTTCACTCAATGACTTTAAAATTCCAGTAACACCTTTGCATTTCAGCTCTCTGAAGCACATAATATAATGGATGTAATTAGGACAAAAAAGGGAAGCTCTTAGCTGTTAAAGAGGGTTTTCTTTCCTTCAAGAGCCTTTCTAGCCTCATATCTAATAGAATACAAAAATAGTAGTTATACCCAGGGCACTGCCCATGTTCTGTTGGCAAGATCCTGGGGTTTTACATTTTTGTGTGCATGTTTTTGTTTTGGTTTTGTTCTGGCATCTTCATGTACTTCCTGATTGATCTACCTATTGGATATTCTTCTTACAAATTGGGACAATACTTACTTTTTTTTTCCTCTAACTTATGTTCTTTTTGTCCTGGGGCCTTGTGTGAGCCAGATGTCTTTAAATTAATTTTTAATTATTTACAGAATGTGTCAAATGAAATAGTGTTTATTTGGGCATAATGTTGGAGTGTCTCCCTTGTCTCTTTTTAGGTTTTGTAAACTATGGCAACAGCCTGCCAGTGCCTAAAATTACCTCTTTCCTTGCTCATGAATAGATAATATTGTGTTAACAAAACTTTGAAAGTTCACTGGGAAAATGTTAGTAGTTTTGTAATAAAAACTTTCTGATATGTTTTGTATGAATGTGTTAGTAAACAAAACAGCGAGCCATTTGCAAAGGTAATGCATAGTGTTTTCAGATGTTGCTAACATGTTGTCTGCTTCTAATTCTGAACTGCTTTGCACATTAAGTTCTGCGATAGACCCTCACTCATTTCCTTTAACTTTATTGTATAGACATAAGAGGCAAAATATTCTGTTCTTAATGCTTATAGATAAGCATGCAAGCAAAAATGGGTGTTGCAGTGTTCGCTTCAAAAGCCAAATTAGCTTTCCATTGTGTTTCATCCTAAGGAAGAGGATTATCCAGGAGCTATTCAGCTGTGCTTGGAATGCCAGAAAGCTGCCAGCACTTTCAAACACTACAGTTGTATAAGGTAAGGTGACATTGTGCAGATTTCAGCTTCTGTATGATTTATTTGTAAATGGTATAAACCAGTGATCATTAATTCCCATTCTTTAAAGCAGCTTTGTTTGAAGTTTAATTTTCTGCTTAAAGTAAAATTGAGGCATTTGGAAAAACATAAGCATCCTCAGTAGTTTCCCTCCTCCCTGTACCACTAGTAACCAGTATTCACAATCATAACGCTATATAATATATGCTTGGACTATGTCATTGTTTTGTAATTGTTGTAGTATATTGGCGGGTGAAGTTTCAACTAAGACTGAATTATAACTGTGCTACAACCTGCAGCCTAGAGACACCTGAGCTAATTTTTTAATACGCAATTTTGTATTCTGGAATTAATATACTTACAGCAAGATGTCTTGTGGAAGGTAACTCACCCTGATTCTTGGCAATGAAATTAGCAAGTGCAGAGCTTCATGCTGTTATGGAGAAATTGCTTTCAGAACCGGAACTAATTTGAATATCTGCAGTTTCTACCTTAGAAAGACTTGATGTTTCCATCACTTGTTAGAAAGAAAAAAAAATAAAATTGGGTTAACATTAAGTTCAAAGTCATAATAGGTATGACAACAAATAAAATTAAGTGAATTTTGATATTTCATCCACTAAAAAGATCATTACATTATTTAGATCATTTTTTTTTGTGTCATTTTTAATTGTAATTTTACATTTGTGGATAAAAGCATGACCTTGTTTGATCTCCTGTCAGAATGCTCTCTGACTTAGAAGGAGTAAAACCTATGAATACACATGCTTTGCCTCCCTCTGTGCTCTAAATGTATGCTTTGTTGCAACTTCAGAGTAATTACCCATAATCCTTGATTTCAGGATCCTTGACTTTAGGATCTACTTTTGAGGTATAGTTGTTTCAGAATCTGAAGATGCACCAAAAAGGGTATGAAGTTAGGAATTGTACCTGGAAATAAACCCCTCTCTATTCTGAAGTCAGATTTCAAAGCTGCTTTTTGCTTTCTTTTTGGTTCCATAAAGCTTGTGTGTGGATATAAATGAACTGTACAGCCAACATTTGGCTACATAAATTAAAATTTTTAATCCCTTTCTTATATGCTCATGAATGAAAACTATTTTTTATGTATTTGAATGAGGAAAAATGACTGTGTTTTTCCTCAGTCCTTGACAATTCAGTTGTTGAGAAGCAAAATGACTCCTGAACAACTTTTTCTCTGCTTGACTCTACCTTCTGCAGAGACATGGGTCTTGCAGTCTTCCATACCTGTGTCTTGTCTGTACTCTTCAGTAAGCTCTCCTTAGTATTAATTGCTCTTTCAGATGATCTGTGGCTCCAAACATTAATCTGATTTATTCTGCATATCTGCTGCATTTTTTTTTTTTGAGAAATTAGCAACATTTATGCAGCATGAAAAGCCAGTTTGATTTTTTTTTTTTTTTAGGATCTTACAGTGCTCATCTAGAAAACTTTTGAGTTTTAGGTTAAATTACATGTTTTTTGAGTTAAATTCTGTTTCGTGTAAATGATACGAAGTTTCTGTTTAATGTTGCATCACTTTAAGCTTTTCTTGCAGCTTCCAATTTTATCTCCACTACACTATGTCCACTATAGCCAAATTTGGAACTTAAACAGTTCATGTTTTTGCAATTTGGAATATTTAACTGCAAAAGTCATACTATTTTAAATCTGATAGCATACTGGCAAGATACGTGACAAATAGCTGTTGAGGATTTACTTTGTTGCACTCAAAAGGATATCTTTGCATCCAAGATGACAGTTTCTTGAAAGAAAGGATGATGACAGAAAAAATCAGTACTGCTTCTTTATTTTGGGAGAGTTTTTTGAGCTTGTTTTTGTTTGCATTGTGAGAGCAGAGGGACATTTTAGCTGTAAATCCCAACCCCAGTGCATATATTTCAGTCTCTGTGCACTGTTCTACTTTCAGAAGTTTAAGAGAATATGTATTGTATGGAATAATGTCTCACTAGCAGGGGATTGGGCTAAATGAATAAATAGATCTTTTGCATTTCTATTCAGGACTGCAGTAAAAACAGCTAGTCAAGGAAACACGTGCTCTCATTTAAACATGTGCTTGTATGAGGCATCACCTCAGTATCTTACCATGAAATTTTCACAGTATCCCTTTGATTGTCCACTGTCCACATGACAAGAATCAGTGCCTTCCTTTGTAGAATTATTCTTCACATTCTTCTTGCTAGATGGTGGTAGGAATTGGGTGTGGCAGGGGATTTAAACCTTTGGCAGCAGGGGATTTAAACCTTTCTATGAAGCATATAATTTTTTTATTTTGGTGTATACATAATCTGAAGAGGCAAGCACTTCAACTTCCCTACTAAGACTTCTTTGGTTTTAAGAGTGGCTGTCATCCTTCTTTGAAATAATAGCCTGGATGTCAATTATTTTGTTTCTCATTGTCTTCTTCCTGGGGAATGCTTGCATTATATGATTCATTTTTGATTAAAAATATAAATCAAAGTCTTTTGCCTTCTGCGTGTTGATCCATTGTGATGTGAGTAGACTCCCTTGAAAGAACTGTAGGAAAAGGTAGTGTCAGATAATAGGATGACTCTGTCTATTGCATTTGGGTCAAAATGTTACTTCTGTTATATTGCAGTAATGTGCCTTCTAAAAACGCACTAATTTAGATTTATATGGATGGGGATGCAAAAAAAGGACTTCTAATACTTTTTTTTTTTTTAATTAGTGAAAGGAATGCCTTGAATTAAATTCTCAATTATGGTAAACGGGCTTTTGTGTAGCTATTATGTCCATGTCCTACCTTTATAATATATGCTGGCTTAGAAAATACATAAAAATTTAGCTGGATACTGTATTTCCACATTTTCACTTTAGTACTTGATCAAAGTTACTTTCCTTATGCAATTTGGTGATCATACCTTCTTTTCCTAAATTAGTCAGCATAAATGCAGGCTGTATTCTTGCAAACACCTCCATATATCATAGCTTGGTTGAATAAATAAATTATGAATGTGCGTATTTAAAATGGGTGCTTCAGCCCTCACTCGAAAGGGAAGACAGCAGTGTCGCACGAGTTGAGTGGGTAAGAAACACGTGGCAGTTTTACATTGGTTGTGTTTCATGTGGGAAACGATCTTTTGAATTCTTCCCCATCCTTCTCTCCCAAAAGGAAAGAAAAGTACACCAGTCTGGAATGGCTCTGATCTTGGGGCACTTGCTGGGAAGTGTGGCATGAGGGCTCAGGTCCCTTAGCTGCCCAAGCCTCCTGTGTCACCAGGTGATTTGCAAGCTGAGGCTTGCCTGGCATTAAGAATAGTGGAAACAAGGAACTAGTTTTCATGAGGATCTGTGCTGGTATACAGATGAAATTAGTTAAATGTGATCACCTGCAACAACCAAAAATAGTTTCTGGAGCCCAGGAAGTTTTTCAGCCCTACATTACAGAATCACAGAAACACTAGGTTGGAAAGGACCTTCAAGATCACCAAGTCCAACCATTAATCCAGCGCCACCATGTCCCCTAGACCATGTCCTGAAGTGCCACATCCACACGTTTCTTGAACACTTCCAGAGATGGCGACTCCACCACCTCCCTGGGCAGCCTGTTCCAATGCCTGACCACCCTCTCAGTGAAGAAATTTTTCCTAATACCCAATCTAAACCTCCCCTGGCGCAACTTGAAGCCATTGCCTCTTGTCCTATCGCTAGTTACTTGGGAGAAGAGGCCAACACCCTCGTCGCCACAACCCCCTTTCAGGTAGTTGTATAGAGCGATAAGGTCTCCTCTCAGCCTCCTCTTCTCCAGACTAAACAACCCCAGTTCCCTCAGCTGCTCCTCATAAGACTTGTGCTCCAGACCCCTCACCAGCTTCGTTGCCCTTCTCTGGACACGCTCCAGCACCACATTGCAGTAGTTGAGCAAGTTCCTCATGTGTGTGAGCATGTAAGTTGCCTGAGGTGAAAAATCCACGTGTATTTTTAATTTAATTAGAAAAGGTAAAGAAATGCTAGATTAGCAGAAGCATGTTCATGACAGTTGTTTGAAAGGAATCATAGTGTTGTGTTTATATGGTTTTAATGTTTATATGGTTTTAATGCAAGGTTCTTACTCTTGTTCTAATGTCACCTTGCTAGCTAAAAGAACTGAGTAACAGGAAATGCTCAAACTCCAGCAGGAGATGTAGTAACATGAAATTGTTGTGGAGATACTTCTGCTTGCAGGCACGTCACGTGGAGAAACAACAAAGAAATACTGGCTCCTTGATTTAGTCTTTAATGCCAGCTCTTTCTGATAAAGTTTTTTTTTTCCTATTTAAACCTTTCTTTCGAGAATGTTGTATCCAGGTTATCTAATCTTACTAAGAAGAGAGGGGTGATGGGCATATCATTTAAGTGGAGAGAACTAGGTAGGGAAGCTAGAGTCTATCTTTTGATAGTTAACGTAGGCCTCAGAAGAAGATTCAGAGCGCAGAAGAAAACTGTCTAAAATCAGGTATGGTGATTATCCCATGAAAACTCTGTGCTTTCCATGCTGAAGAGAATATCCTGCCTATCTCTTTGTTACTTGGACTCTTCCAAACCAAAACATAGTAGGCATATTTTGTGTCTTATTTTTTTTGTGCTGATGTTCTGAAATTTTTAAAGCTGATTGTTGGAAAGCAGCAGTTGTGCCTTTCTTTGTCCTAAATAGTTTCTCTTATGGTAGCTATTTTTGTTGATCTTTCTATACCAAATATAGCTCAGAGATGTTTTGTGAGAGTTGTGTAAGCCTAAGTTCTTTTTTCCCTGTAGTGTTTCTGTAAGGGGTTCCTGAGCAACAAGTAAAAGTTACTGTACCATAGTTAGCAAAGGCTTGATAGCCGTGACTTCTCTGGTTATGTTCCGCTGCAGACCAGCGTACCACATCAAAACATTTAGACCATGAGTTTCTTTGGGATTGGGAGTGTCTTTGAATGCTTGGCTAAATCCTAGCAGGATGGGGTCTTGTGTGGGCCTTCTTAACGCTGTTGCATTGTAAACCTAGGATAATGTGCTGCTGCAACAGATACTTTAATTTGAAGTGTTAGGAGTACTGTAAATGCCTGCAATAAGTACCTTTCGGTAGTAACAGTAGTGTGATGATGCTAGTCTGACACAGTAACAGCGGGTTAATGATTTATGGTAAATTACTGTGTCTCAGTGGTAGGCAAATATGTTTTTTTGGAAACAAGAAACTTGATGTGAAATGTTAATATGATCAGTAGCTTGATTTTTAAACATTTTTTTTCATTAATAGTGAGTTGAATTCAAAACTGCAAGACACCTTGGAACAAATAGAGGTAAGAATTAATATCTTGATGTTTATTGTAAGTTAGTATTTAACCTCTAGGTACTAGAGCTTTCTAATGCAATGTTATTAGCAATTACAGAACGTGCACATGTCTTTCAAATACTGTCTTTGGAATGCTGTAGTCATTGCTATTCATGTAGCCTTTTGTGCTGCAGTCAAGCGTTCTATGATGTGTTACCAAAGTTAAGAGCCCAGCTCACTAATTGTGCCCACTTTAAGCGGCAAAACAGTCAAATAATATAGGCACGTAACATTTGAAGGTATGCTCCCTGTATGGTGAAGATGCCGTGGTGGTTTTCAGTCCATGAAGTGCTGTGAATTCTTTAGACTACTTTAAATCACTATATGGCTGAAATTCAAATTGCTGAGTAAGCCTTTAAAGAGGTTCTCCATCTTTAGTTTATTTGTCCTTTTACCATTTTGCCTAGGAAAAATGCAGTATTTGGTTGTATTCTACTCTCCTTTTTTGTGCTTAAAGAAAATACTGATCTGCTTAAAAAAACACAACAAAATAAAACACCCCCAAACCCAGCAGCACCCCCCCCCCCAAATCTCTAGGATTAAAAGCCATAAATATTTGTGGCTAATGAAGTAATTAATGAAAATTTTCCAGTGGAGTAAGTTAAAGTACATAGGAACTAACCAACCATCTCCTGTTGGAGAGCAAGACTACATTGCAAGATCCTTAAATAATAAAAATTTAAATGGCTTTAGTGACTAGCAAGGAGAGAAAATACCCGCTAGATGTGCGTGTTATGATATGTTACTGATTCCTGTTTTCTTGCATTGTTGATTGAAAATAACTAGAGTTAGGCTGTGTATCTCTAAATCTCTTGCAGTGTCTGAGAATTATGTTATTGAACTACATGGCTAAATTCTTAGAAGCCTTATTAGTTAGTCATTAAGGATATGATCCTATTTTAGGTTTTTTCCTTTAGTGCACATCATAGAAGAACTTCATTTATTGCAAAGCTGTTCAGTATGCTCAGACACATCTCTGATGGCAGAACCAGTAATTGTGTGTGTGTGCTTTCTTTTCTTCTATGGTACTGATCATTGTGCTGGTATAGTACTGTGTTCACAATAAACTTCTAAGTGACACAGTGTTAATTCCATTTAATAGATGGCAGTCAGAGGGTTAAGAAGTCTATAATTGAATTGCTTGGGCTGAAACACCTGTGGATCATTTCTTTTTCCCCAGATCTGTGTTTTTCTTAGGAGTGGGAGTAGACCAAGTATAGAAATCCCAGCTCTCCCTTATTGTGGTGCTAGACCTTCTCAAAGTAAACATCACTTTGAATTTGACTTCAGTAAAGTAGTGTACTTTTTACTGTGCTTGTTCTTGGAAGCAGTGGAACTGTTTGGCTGATGGAAATTTCAGTCTGAAGTACTGAAAGCTGCAAGAAGTAACATTTGAGCACCTCAAAATAGTCCAGTAATGTACAGTCTTGGTTATTGTACAAGCATAATTATTAGATTGTTTAAACAAGCACTTTTTCCTGACTTGCTGTTAAGTAATGTATTACTTGGCCTGTTTCTATTGAGTGTTTAACACATTTTTTTCCTTCATTTATATAGGAACAACTGGATGTAGCGCTCTCCAAAATATGCAAGAACTTTGATATCAGTCATTATACAAAGGTTCAAGAAAAACACAGGTTAGTATTCATGTTCTGAGTAAGTCACAAAGAACAGTGGTGTAACAGCATGAAGCTTTGAGTACTGGGACAGGAATTTGTTTATCTAATGCTGATGAATCTTGCTGAGTATACAAAGACTTTTGTAATGCTCAGAGAATTTAACAGTAATTGCTAAAGGTAAACTGTGTAGTACAGTAACATGCATCTTTTTGGACATGGTGTAACTGTAACATTTGCATATTTCAGCTATATGTATAATGCTGTTTGCATTATTAATTGTATTTGGGCATGTGAGTACTATTTTTCATAGCCATGTCCCTCTTACTGAGTTGTACACAACCTGTACCTTTTATGTGTGCATTCCCATTTTATGTTGTGCTTGAATGTGACAGGAATGAAGATGTGAGGAAATATTTGAGGGGAGACCTTATCGCTCTCTACAACTACCTGAAAGGGGGTTGTGGCGAGGTGGGCGTTGGTCTCTTCTCCCAAGTAACTAGTGATAGGACGAGAGGAAATGGCCTCAAGTTGCACCAGGGGAGGTTTAGATACTAGGATACTAGTAGGATACTAGGAAAAATGTCTTTATGGAGAGAGTGGTTAGGCATTGGAACAGGCTGCCCAGGGAGGTGGTGGAGACACCATCATTGGAAGTGTTCAAAAACGAGCGGACATGGCACTTCAGGACATGGTTTAGTGGGTATGGTGGTGTTGGGTTGATGGCTGGACTTGATGATCTCGAAGGTGTTTTCAATCTTCATGATTCTGTAATTCTGTGATTTTTTTTTTTTTTTTTTTTTTGGACAACAAAATATGACACAAGGCATGTCAAACCTGTACTGTGGACATGTCCTGACAGTTACATCTCTGTGTGCCTGGAGCCTGTTATTTGTAAGTAGGAGTAGGTCTAAACTCTGCAATAGGATGTGGCTCTCTTCTGTTGGCACGCTGTCTTGAGGCTTAGGGTGTTTTCTCTGGGAAGGCAGTGAACCCGTTTCCTTCTGAAGCAGATATGAAGTGTGGGAGCTAGTACCAACCTCCTGTGACCAAAAGGGGTCTAAGGGGAGGAGAAAGTCCTGGAGGCATCTTTCATCAGTGATAGGTGTTTATAACATAGCGAGGCTAAACATGGTGGTGCCAGTGCAGCAATGATGTTTTGCTTAGAGAAGAGATTCCGCCAGGAAGTTTTTAGCTCCTAAAGAACACGTCAAAGTGCCTGTCCCCTGATGGAGACAGGACAAGAACCCCATTTGTTCTTTATTATGCTTGTGTTGTTTAAAATGCTGTTTCCCAGTACTCAGAAGCATGGCTGACATTAAAATGCCTTTATTGGGGGTTGTTTTTAAATTTTTGTTTGATTTTTGTTTCTTTCTAATTAGAACCTTTCTAAGTAGAATTCTTGTTCTGTGGCTTGACTGTGATAACAGTGTAGCTCTGCAATATGGTAGAAACGGATTTCTCTTCTCATCTTTGACAATGTGCGGAATTACTGGAGTGCTTAAAGACTGCATCTTAAAATCAGGGTAATTAGACTTTTCCTTTGTTAGTGCATTGTATGCAATTTCTTTATTTACTGAACAAAAGTAGATATCGTGCAGTCACTGCTCCGGAGTCTAGTGCATGATATGTTGAGAAAGGCAGGCATTTTGTTGGGGAGGAATGAAGTTTCTGAACAAAACAGAAGTGTTATTTGTTACTGCATGGTTTTGCCTGCTCTGCTCTCATGATAAAGTGACATGGTTTTGACATTCTTTTTATTACTATTAAAGTGTGTATTCTGAACTTGTCCGGAAAAGAATTTAGTTGCATAACTATTGCAATATCTCCCATTTTGACCCCTCCTCATTAAGCAAAATGACAAGAACCTTCACTGGCTTCAGTACTTTTCATGTTTCCATTTGTTATTCTGTTTTCTTTGACTAATTCAAGTTAGGACTAGCTGCAGAAGATCGGTTATTTGCGATAGGATTGAAACAGAATTGCTTGTTCATTTATTATGGGGACAATTGAGTTCTTGGCTCTGGTCAGTAGGTAAGAATGTCAAATAGCAAGTAGCAAAACTGTCCATTTTCCAATCTGCACGATCTGATAACTTCATTCTGGCATATCAAATAATTTTTTAAATCAGTTCTTATATACTATATATACTGATTATGAGCATATCTTGAAACAGTGAGAATATTCAGCATCTGAAACTAATGTTATGTACAGTTTATTAACAAAGGATCAGAGAAACAGCCTGGCCTGAAACTCAGGCATGGTTATGGCAAAGCTTGTATGTTATATAGTCATCAGTGTTTAGTACATGTACTGGTATCTTTTTTTCTGAAAAAAACTAAGTTTTGTTAGACAAACGTCATATTTTGTTTTTATTAGAAAGAGGGTTTTTGTAAGAAATTTATTGATGTGATCTGCATGCCTTTCTGTAACACTTAATCCTACTTTATATTCTTCAAGGAAGAACTCTGTTTGGCAAGTGGATGGATTGAAGACACTATAATTGTGATTTCAGTTTTATTAACTGCAAAGGAAATATTTTTATTTTAGTTGGAAGTGTTTCCAGCTGGAAAAATAACACTGATCTCACCTCATTTCTTTTTGACACATTTGTCAATGATTGGGGGGATAAATGAATGAATGAGTAAATTCTATAATTAAATATATACATGTGAAATTAATATTTACTAGTGATAATGTCAAAAACCTGTTGTTTTATAGAGGGAAGATGGCAGGGAAACTGATTTTACTGGTAATACCTGAAATCTTTTATGTTACCATATTGTAATATTGCCAAATCCTATATTAGGTATTTTTGAAACAAAGATAGGAGACCATGCTTACAATCTCCCATGTTCAGTACTGAAAAAGACTTACATTAAAAGACGATGGCGTGTGACGAATTGAATTTTACTATTTGACTTTATGTTACTGCTTTTGTTTCAGACAGCAATGGACCAGTTACATATGCACTTCACTCAAGCCATTCACAACACTGTGTTTCAAGTAGTCCTTGGATACGTGGAGCTGTGTGCAGGAAACACAGACACCAAGTTTCAGAAGTTACAGTACAAAGATCTCTGTACAGTATGTAATTCTTGCATATATGTATATTTCTTAATCTGAATTTTTCCACTGTTGTAAGTGTACCTTATGTAAGTAGGAACTCAGTTATTAAAATAATCCTGCAGCTACTATAGTTTCTTAATACAACTCATTGGCTAATTTAGAGATTGGTTATTTACAACTTAATGCTGATTTTGATTGCACTAAATCTTAGCACTTTGGAGTTAGTATACAGACCATCTAAAGAAATATGAAGTAGTAAATCATAGGATACAAACAGGAGATCAAGATTTCAAGACTCTCATGTCTTTAGTGTAATATGCTAGTTACTAGAATCACTATTAGATTTGAACTTTATTTCAGTGTGTTGCATCAGTGTTCACAATTTCTGTAATATTGCATTTCAGTAAGGATTATAGTAAAGGTGTAAACTTAATTGGAATCTTCCCATTACTCCTAACTTTGTATCAGATTCATTGCACTTTTGGTATCAAGATAAGGGACAACTGTGATACTGAGCTGCAAAAGCCTGATGATAGGCAGATCATGGACTGGGCATAACAGTGTATTTTCCTCTAGTATAGATTTTAGATGCAGTTTCTTACATGTGTATATTTTGTTTATTTTTTTAATGTTACTAGCACGAGTTACTGTATTTTGAGTAGTATTTTTGGTTCACTTTTTGATTCTTTCACTTGTGATCTCATTGTTATAGCCTGAGAAAGTTTCTTAAACTCAGTGTGGAGAGAGAGGGAGATACTTTAGGTGGTTGTAACATTGATTTAAAACTTGAAATTAGGTTTCTCTCTTGAATGTTCTTCATTTCAGTCACAGACTAAGCCCTCATCATACTTCTTCAACTCAAGGACCCACCCCATCAGTTGCAATTTACTGAATCAAAGTTCAGTCACAAGGAAATTAAAGTTTATATTCTGATTGACTTTCTGCTCTTTCACTTCTCAGATCTCCTGGGATTGTGTAGCTTCAACTAGTAAACAAGACATCTGTATTGAAAACAGTTTCATTGTGAAGACGTGCCCCTTTGACTTAAAAGGCTTACATAAGCTAAGAGCCTTCATATGAGCAAAAGTGGGTTATGAAAAATTAATTTATTGGGAGTAATTGACATAAGTGTTAATGAGCAGAATGAGTAAGGTTCCAGAGAGGTTGCAATTGCACTTTGCTGAGATGAATTCTAGTTGAAGAAAGCCAGCAAACCTTGATCTCTCTTCTCCAGACTGCAGGCCTGTTGTACTTCTGCTTTAAGTATTCAGAGGGTGTTTTTGTTTTCATTTCTCAGTTTCTAATGCACTTTTCTTTGGAGTTTTTTTCTGTTATGCTTCTGTATGCCCTACAGTATTATTTCTCATTCTTCGCTAACATTTATGATACTAAGCCCATTTATTTCCATTTAAAAACAGTACTTACCGAGCTCCTCCTGTCATCTTCTGAAATACAGATTGTGTGCTGCTGTTAATCCTTACCCCTGACAGTGCAGAAGGATCTTTCAGATCACTGGAACTATCACATTTTGTAATACACAAAAAGACAGTGGCTTTAACTGTGTGGTTACAAAATTATTACTTCATTATTTCTATTTGGTTTTCCTTCTGCAGAACCCTCATGAAATGCTGCTTTAGTTATGTGAGCCTGCTGGAATCTGGCAGTCTATATAAAGGAAGGTACCTAAACTTTAGGAGTACCAGGTACTACGAATGCTGCACTAATTCCCTTGAAATGTAGTGATTTTTTTTTATTTTTCATTACTCTCTCAGTAATAATTAGGTATTTAAGGGTAGGCTGCAGATGGGAAATTTTGCTCTGTTACAAACCCGCTGTTCAGTGTTGGTTGTACCCGTTGCAGTGCATTTGTGAAAATCAAAGTGCTGAATAAGCTGGACTACCATAGCAATTCCATTTCTAACTTCCTATAGGAAAAATATCTACAGATTTTCATTTCTTGCTTTCAGTTGTCAGGGAATAAATTGTTTAAGACTGAAATATGAGCCTTCTTTCTCCATGTCTGGTTCCAGTGAGAACCCTCTTTAACCTGTCTACACTGTTAGACCAGGATGCTCTTAACGTGTAAGTGATTATGGAGTGCTTACTCTAATTAAACAATGGTAATAAAAAAAATTAAAGTCTCTCTCTTTGGGTAGTTCTCCCATTGTGTGTATCTAAAAATCTTTCTAAATGAAGTCATTTAGCTCATTTTCATTTTACATGGCTAGTGGGGGACTATGGTGGGTTTTTTTTCTTTGTTTTAATTTTTTTGTTTGTTTCTTTTCTGGAAGTCAGAGAGTGGATTTTATAGTAATGTGAGTTTTTTAAAGACTAATGCTTTCAGTAATTCTTGGCTATTTATGTAAGTTATGTGCCTGTGCACTCTGAGTCACTATTTCCTTGTTGAGGACTTCTTTTCCTAGTGATATCCCATGCTCTAACTCTTACATCTGTTCTCCTTCTGAATACTACTGGAGCAGGGGAGAGTTTGGCTCCTTCATCTTCAAATTCTGTTTTTTCTTTTTTCTAGCATAAGTTCAAAGAAATTGTCTTTTTCCTTGCTCTAAATGGAATTATCTTGGTATTTAGTAAGTGATCCTTTCTTCCTGGCCACCTGGAAGCCAGTATGTCTTCATGTATAGTGATCTGCACAACCAAAGTTTAGGTTTTACTGCATTTCAGGGCTTTTAGTAGCTGTAAGAGTAATGTTTTCTGATGAGTAGCCAGAGAAAATTGCTGAAACAGCTGTTGAATGGCAGGGCAACTTATTTTTTAAATTATAAACTTATTACCCTATTTTGTTCCTTTGTTAGCAAAGTTCTATAGTATGTGAGATTAAAGTGTCTCAGTAATGCAGTCAGTAATGTATATCAATTCTCCAATTAAAAGGTGTTTTAGAAAAAAAGTAGTATTTAGTATTCTCAATTGTTACTTTTTTTTATGCACCAAGAACTTGACTTTTTCTTTTTTTGTTGGTGTGTTCAGAATGCCTAATTTATATTTTTGAGACATAGCTGGTTTGATAGGGAACAGAACCAGAATAATAATTCATTTAAAAAAAAAACCCAAGCAAACTGAAAAGTTGTAGTGATTAATATGAGGCCTCCTGATACTTTTGCTAGTGACATCTATTAATGCTAATGAACAGTTTTTGTGAGTCCTTAATCATAAGCAAACTGTAGGAGAATATGGCTTGGGCGTTATGTGCTACTGCAAGGAGCGTTATTTAAGCTTACAAAGCAAGAGAACATGATTAAATAGAAAGTGAAGACATTTAGCTTATAATTTTTTTTTACTTAGAAGCTGAAAAATAGGAGGGGCATAAGTGATGCATCTGCATTTGTGAAGAAACCTGTCTGGTCTAATATTTATTATCTAACAAATGTAATATTCGAGCTTATCAAGGTTTTGTTGCAGCTCATTGCTCAGGAAGGACACTCAGTGTTTAGAAAGCCATAGTTACATCAGTGGATGAGGATGCAATTCAGAGGGAATTGATTGCTTTGATTAAGGGTTTGCTCTCTGTAGAATTTATGGTTGATTATTTTGGTGGTTATGTTGACACCACTGTTGCAGAAGCTGTTAGTATTTTTGAAGGCTTTTGTTGTAACTGTAATGCCAAAGCACTGAGTTAGCATGCAGTACCTACATGCTAGCCAGCCTTGTGGAAGTGTACTGTGAACACTGAAGTAGCAATGGGAAAGTATGAAATGTTTTCTACAGCAGTGTTAGTTTGAAGTGCTAATTTCCAGACTTCTCTGAGGACCTTTAAATAATAATGTAATTGAAATCACATTTGTGCAGCTGGACTTCCAAGCTGTGAGACTGTACTTCTTCACAGCAAGTGAGATGAGGGTGACTTACCATTGCCACTCAGATAAGCAATATATTTTACAGTCTTTTCTTTACCCAGCAAGACCTTTTCTCAAATTCATTCCTTTACCTGACAGTCTCATCTTAGATGTTTCTACTGTGTATCTATCTTTCTGATAAAATTGATACTCTTCACCTAATGAATATCTCAAATCAAAATGGTTCTTTGGAGCAGGGTGGATCGGGGAGGTAGGACAGCTGCCATCTAAGACTGTTTGTTTTTAAACAACTTTTTATATAGCATTCAGTCCAGTGGGGCATCAGCCAGGGTGGCTTCTATGTACGACTGAAGTAAAAGTATCTGTGTCATAGAATTGACATAGTGTCTGCATGTCACGGGGTTGGCTGCATTCCTCTTTGATGGTGAGATGTGCTGACCATTAGACCGTATGGCTTTACTTCGATATCTACCTTGCTGTTCCATAAATACAAGAGGTGGTTATATATGGGCCAATTGAGGAGGGAAAAAAAGGCACTAATAAATAAAGTTTGCACTTTTAGATAACATTTGATTAGTTTACTAAAATCAGGCATTTGTCAGCGCTCAAATGCTTTTGAAAAGGAAACTGATATACATCAAGCACCTCAGCTGTCTGAATATGGAGGGCTTTGTATGGTTTGCTTTGCCTCTGCAAAAAATGAACACAATTGTTAAGTTTCACAATATTATTTTATTTTTCTGTAGCATATTACATCAGACAGCTACATTCCATGCCTTGCTGATCTCTGCAAAGCCCTCTGGGAAGTCATGCTCAGTTACTACCGAACGATGCAGTGGCATGAGAATCATGACCAAGATGAGGCTGCAGCTGTGTCTTCTGGTAAGAAACTGTTGTGGAAACAAAACTTAGGCTATTTGGAAATAACTTTTCTTACGCTTAAGTTGCTAATTTGTTTGTTGGTATCTTTGTGGTCTTGACTCTGCCTTCAGCATTATTGCTTATAGTGTGCAGTAAGGACTTAAATACTCACTGGATTATTGTTGTCTTCAGTATAAGGTTCATTTTTTGATGAATATGTGTATGTGCCTTTATTACAGATATAAACAGTTTTATTTTAAATAGTGCTTATTGTTGAGTTGGAAGTCAGCTGTGTTAGGTGACTACAAAATCTGAGGATTTTTCCCTTTATTATAGGAATAATGTGAAATTTCAGATTTTTTGATCAATGTTGAAATTTTCACTGCCTATTAAGCATAGTGGATTGGGATACTGGATTGTGTACTGGAAAGGTGACTGAATCAATAGAGAATGAATCTCTTGTACATCTGTCATGTTTTTCAGGATATCCAATTTCCTGAACATTGTATATCATCTGTACTAGTGAATCCATCATAAGATACAGTCACAATTTCCTTGATACCCTTACAGGGAAACGCAAACTTTTAATCTTAAAGTATAATTTTGGTTTTCTTTTATTGTTGTTCCAGTTTGTGGTTTTTAGGACAGAAGCACAAAACCTTTGTCTAAGTCCTACTGAGTACATTTTTTCTGGATGTATTCTAAATTAATATACAATGTCTGAAGACAGACTTTTATTTCCCCACTAACCCAAGATGCTTGTGTTTGACAGAGGGCAGAATGTGAAATTTACAGTATTAAGATTTATGCAAAACTCCTATTTATTTGAATCAGATAAGATTGCTTTTTTCTTAATGAAAATGAGGCTTCTGTCAACGCACAAGGACTGTGGGATTGCTGCTAAAGTTATTCCTTCTTGCCTGATTTGCATAAAACTTGTATCTTTTGCATTAGACAATAAGAAGAAAGGAAAAAAATTGGAAATAGAAGTAAAGGAACACATCTTGGAACACTGTGCTTCCTACAATATATTTGAAGTCCATCATTTTTTTCAAAAGTCAGATTTATAACAGATTTTAAGTATTAAAGAATGAAATTTATGCTACTTAACATTGTCTTCCTACTCTAACTTTAAAAACTTAATGAAAATTTTTCTTTAGAGTGTCCTTCCTATATTGTATGGTTACTTGTGAGATCTTGAAGAAAGAAAATTGCACTGCAAAAGCTTTTAAAGGAACCATTAAGCTTAATGAGGTGGTATATTCAGTCACATGAGTAATTTTAAATGCATTGCTTTTTAAATGCATGCCAGAGTGTTTTGGTATGTTTACTACTAATCCACTAAATCTTCCATCACTCAGTTTTTAAGTTTCTGGAGATGTTGTAGCTTAGCTGTAATGTACGACTAGAATATATCTGAGCTATTGAATCACTTTTTCAAATACCTCAGCAATGATAAAGCACAAAAAAGGGAATTTCACAAGTATAATTTAATTTCAGAGGGACTATAAATATCTACCAAATGTCTGTTTCTTCTAAAAGTCATTGCTTATGCTGTAATTATTAAAGCTGTACGTGGAAGTCTCATTCCATATTTATTGATTTAATAGCTGTGATATGTGATAAAGTCAAAGAGTAAAATACCTGTAGGAAGGGAAGATATGTCAGAAGGAACCATGGAGGCAGTTCAGGAGATTATGATAAGTGTTCCCTCAATTAAACCCCATAGACAGGAGCAATAGAAGGAGCAGTCTTAACTCTTGTATGTGTATCTAGCTTTCATAATTTTGAGCACTCAAAGCTGCCCCGATACTTTTCTCTCATTGTGGCAGTTAATGTCAGCAGTCTTACAAAATACCTTAAATGGGTCAAGGGACTCGTGGTTTTAGGGCACAAACCCTGCTGTAGAAGTGAGAAGCTGGACTTAGAAGACATGAATTACATAGTTCTTTCTATTTTAATAGTGAAGCTTATCCAAAAGAAGTCCTGCATGGATTATGAAAAGGAGGTTGAACTTGATCTAGATCATGTCTCATGTATTTGTGATTAGTAATGCCTGTTACAGATGTTAAAATGTACTTTGCATAACTTGTAAATAATTGCCCTTCTGTATTTCTGAGGAAAGAGTTTTGTCTGCTTTATATCGTTAAATATCATGTTTATTTGTGTTCTGAAAATTAGTCTAATTTGAGACTGAAGAGCAAAATGGAATAGAAAATACTTTCATAACAGGTTTGTTTTTTGTTTGGAACATAGGAGAGACTCTTTAAGATTGAGGCTTTTTTATTTTTTTCCCTAGGACTGAGTTCAGAATTTGCTGTTGTTCTTTGAGTTATAGTGTGGACTGGCCTTTGGGGACCACTTTTTTTAAGATAAATTGAAAAAACTCTTACTTGGAATAAACTAAATGGAAACGGATAATTACATATAAATGCAATCTTAAAAATTTTTAAAGTATGAGACGTATTTTAGTACCTTTCATGAAATAGGAAATACTAATGAGTTTTAGTTTGCTGAAGTGTTACAAGAGTAGCAGTAAATCATAGTGAAATGTATGGTATTGATAGTTGTATGACTCATCAGTAACTTAACTAATTGCTCTAATAAACTGTTGGAAAGATGGAATTAAGTGTTTGTATGTAGGACTTGTTTAATCATATTGGAGATAAAATTAGTGAACTAAAATTATTAACTCCATTACATGAAATGGATTCTATGTCACATTTAATGAACTGCTACTTAATCTGTGATTTTTATTGTTCGTATAGTAAACAGCAAACTGCTGTGATATGGGTTTTCATCCTGAAAATAAACTGCTTACTGGAAAATTTTCCATTGCACTGTTGGTCATGGTCAAAGCATTGTTTGTGTTTGTAGTATAGAATCAAAGAAAAAATGAGTTTTCATTTTGTCTTCCCTGCTCAAAGCAAAAGGAACTTAAAAGTTGCATTGTTTTGTGTGAGGCCCTGTCTGGTTCAGCTGGATTTTCACATACCACAAAATTTACTGTGACACTGTCGTAATTCACATGTATTCCTGAGACACTAATTTAACAGAAGAACTGCAACTTAGCGGTAAATTGATCACTATAGCATTTAAACTTCTGATTTCACAAGTGTAATCCTAGTTGTAAAAGTTGGTAACAACTGTAATAGCTGTGATAGACTCAATGAAAAGCACGAAGAAAATGATGTTAAGATGTAAATTTAATTTCAACCATTTTAATTTTCAAAACGTTCCATCTATAATACTGCATAAATTCTGTGCAAGACCTGCTTGATATTCAGAGAAGGAAGCTAGAGGACAGTGACTTGACTGATGGTTTTTTTGTTGGGTTGCTTTTTTTTTTTTTTTCTCCTCTGCCTAGCAAGGATTAAACAAAAACCTTTTATTATGACTGAAGGCTATTTTTATGAATTTTGGAGAAATACGGAGAAACCTGAAAATTTAATTTGGGCATCTGATTCTTATTTTTATGTGAAATTATGAATATTTATGTATTCTGCTACCTGTTCCAAATTTTTAAAAACAAGAAGTGTAAATGCTTGTGGACCTTTGACCGATCCTTGATATTCAAGTAAATTATCCTAACTTCGTATGTTTGCATGTGTGAAATTAGCTGCAGGACAGTTCATTAAAAGACTGGAGACAAGACCTTTTAGCATAACTGGCCATAAACCAGGAGCACTGGGAGATTGCCAGAAAGAATATTGCATGGATTTTTATTGAACAATGACATCCATATGACTCTCTGTCCAACCATTCCTTCATAAATGGCATTTTGTGAGGACAAGGACTATGGTCTTAATCTTGAGAATAGGTCAAAGTTACTGACTTGTTCAGGCTTGGCTTCACACTGCAGAAGTGTAGAAGAGAGGATATTGCAGATACTTCTTAAGAGCATACCGTGACTATGATAGCTGGTTTTGTTCAGTCATATAGTCAGAGAAAGGATAAATCCACTTAGTGTTTCTCTAGTTGGGTTATTCTTTCTGTTTATATTTTGTTTAATCTTCCATGATAAATCACTTTTGAGAGTGCATTTGTCAGTATTATTGTTTTCAAGAGAAGAGGAGTATATTAGCTACAGTTACTAAATTATAATTTTCATATACAGTGGCTAATATTTATTTTCTGATTTTTCTTTCATGAGGAAGATTTTCTTTGCATGCCCTGCAACAGTAGACATGGTATGGAATTATGTCTGAGTCTTATTTTCACATTAAGGAGGCTTTTATCATCTTATTTTGAGGTAGTTAGGGTAAATTCTCCGTCTACCTGCAAAAGCAGTCTCAATGACTTTAAACAGGAAAGAGTTGAAAACAGCTTTGCAGCCTTGGAAGAAATTAATATCTATTTCTAAGACCAAATTCCAGAATATATTTTATTATGTTTTTAATTGTGAGGAGGAGTTATTAAATTGAAAGTACCAGAGCTTTTACATTCTGGCTGCGTATAGTATTGTACTGATTCTGTATTCTTGAGGTCTAGCCTCATGGGCAGACTGACTTTAACTTCACTGGCTTGAAGATTCTTTTTGTTGGTGTTCATATGTTCACCATGGTAATCCCTAGCTTGCAGATTAAGCTCCCTCAGTGTTTGATAAAGATCATAATTTAATAACACGTCCTGACACACCAAATAGCTCCACTTGAAAGAAACTAAGGAAGGCCGGCATCCTTCTCAGTAACCATATTACCCACATTTGCTTAATTTAAATGGAGCTACAGGTGTTGAAGGCTTCATATTTTTGTTGTTCCTATTATGCTTATCTATTATATAAGCATTCATATGATATGTAATATATAATATATATTTAGAATAAATTACATTTTTTATTTACATGGGAAATGTATGTGAAATAGTTCTTATTCTGAGAAACTTACTCTGAAAAAGTTCAAAGCAGAAAACAGATGGTTGATGGGGAGAAGGAAGATGCATATCATGCTCTTTTACTTACTCCCAGTCCTAGGCCAGACTGTCTGTATGAGACACTGATAAGTGCTAAAAACCTCCCCTGGCACAACTTGAGGCCATTTCCTCTCGTCCTATCGCTAGTTACCTGGGAGAAGAGACCAACACCCGCCTCACCGCAACCCCCTTTCAGGTAGCTGTAGAGAATGATAAGGTCTCCCCTCAGCCTTTTCTTCTCCTGACTGAACAACCCCAGTTCCCTCAGCTGCTGCTCATAAGACTTGTGCTCCAGACCCCTCACCAGCTTCGTTGACGTTCTCTGGATGTGCTGCAGCACCTTAATGTCCTTCTTGTAGTGAGGGGCCCAAAACTGCACACAGTCTTCTAAGTGCGGCCTCACCAGTGCCGAGTACAGGGGCACAATCACTTCCGTACTCCTGCTGGCCACACTATTTCTGATACAGGCCAGGATGCTGTTGGCCTTCTTGGCCACCTGGGCACACTGCCGGCTCATATTCAGCTGGCTGTCAACCAGCACCCCCAGGTCC